GCTCCACCTCCAAAATCTCCAGGGATTTCATAATCTGGAATTGGCAACCCCATTCCAGTGCTCTTGGACATGCAAACACAGGCTCCAGGGTGAAAAGGAGTTTCTTGAGCCCTGGTTTGCATGGAATAAGATTGACTCCGGTTTTGTCAAGGAGCTGTGTCCATATATCGGAGACGGGTGACGCCAGAGTTTGTGGAGCCAGTCTTGGTGTCATGGTTAGGAGCACAGATTCTAATCTGGGAGGACCGGGTTTGATTCCCCACGCCTCCACGTGCAGCTGCTGGTGTGACCCTGGGGCAGTCACAAGTTCTCTCAGGGCCGTTCTCTCAAGAGCAGTCCTTGAAAGAGCTCTCTCAGCCAATGCTCCCTCTAAGCCGTGGAGCCTTGTGAGCAAAAATTCTACTTTGTGAGCTCCTGGCATTAAAGTTGTGAGCGAGCGATGTGGCTGCTGCATCAGTTAGTTTGCTCTGGAGCCATCCTTCCTGAGCGGAGACAAAAATGTGTGAGCCGGAGGCTAAAAAGCTGCAAGGTAGCTCACACTAACTCAGCTTAGAGGGAACACTGCTCTCAGCCCCACCTACCTCACAGGGTGTCTGTTTTGTTGAGGGGAAGGGAAAGATTGTAAACCACTCTGAGACTCTTTTAGGTAGTGAAGGGTGGGGTATTGATCCAATCTCCTCCTCCTCCTCCTTCTCCAGGAGCCTTTACCCACAAGCCACACGAAGGGGAGAAGAAAGGTGAGGACACACCACCAAACACCCTCTGTGCCTTTTTAGCTTTGTCAGCCCACATCGCGGTGTCTGAATGCTAGTCAGTGTGTGCAGCTTTACTGTTGCTTAACATAGCAAAGGGCCTAATCCTGTGTCTTTCAGTAAAAACAGGGCTATTTTTGGGCAGGAACGCACAGGAACGGAGTTCCGGCTGGCTCCTGAGTTGGCCACGCCTAGCAGGAATTCATTAGCATAACAGGCCACACCCAACAGCAGAAACTCAATCGGATTGGCTACATTAGGGGTGTGTGGCCTAACATGCAAAGGAGTTCCTGCTACAAAAAAAGCCCTGGGTTTTGACAACAAACAAGGTAAACAGAATAAGAAGCAAAAGGTGGGTGTGGCTGGATGAGCACACTTCTGGTAACATGGGGGTGTGGCCTAATGTGCTAATGAGCAGTGCTGTC